TGCAATAAGAATTCTATATGCTTTCAAATACACATCTTTTCATCATTCCTGTTAGGTAGGCAGAGTGGTTGCTGTTATAGTATCCTACTTCATGAATGGATACAGCGGAATATTGAGGGAAATTAAAATAGAGTCGTCAAGAGATAAGAAATATCATGAACTTCTTGAGTCAGAGCCAATTGAAGTCTGACTTAGTTGTAAAGCAAGCAAAGCGAAAATTTACATTAGCCACCACAACCTCAACCTGCTGGGCTCCGGCTATCCTTCCACCTCAGCCTTCCAAGTAGCTGGAATTACAGGCATGCGCTACCACGCCCGGCTGATTTTTTTTTTTTATTTATTGTAGAGATGAGGTCTCGCTGCTCAGGCGGGTCTCGAACCCGCGGGCTCAGGCAATCCACTCACCTCAGCCTCCCAAAGGTGCGGGATTACAGGCTGAGCCACCGAGCCCGGCTTATCACAACATCTTTAACGAGGAGTTGTAAGGACTGAATAAAATGATGGATGTGAAACACTTAGCATAATGTCTTTCAAGTAGTTAAGCAGTCAATAAATGGTAGCTCTTATTAACTCACCTGGCTGTGACGAGTTTAGCAGTTAATCACTCCTTCTTGATTCGCCATTCTTTAATCTTAGCCAAGTTCTGAAAATTGAAAAAGACAAACTGACTCCCATTCAACTCAGAAGGCTATTTATTGAAATAATACAATGATGTTACAAGGATGCATTTCACATAGCCTTAAAAGACTGGGTATTCATATGTGCATGTGCATGGCAGCTGGGTGTAGGAAAGCCTTCTGCTCAATCAGCCACACATACATTCTAGGCTCCCTCTCTGTCAATGAAGATATGCTGTGATTCAGACAGTGGTGGTTGGATCTAGGTCAGGCTCCACAAACAATCTAGTGATCTCCTTTAAGTCTTATGAAACTAAGGTTTTATAAACTTCTGTTAACAGTGGGGTAGCATTTAACTGGTTATAATTCATGCCATTCCTGCAAGTAGCCAACTATGGAGATCCCCGAACGACCAGCAGCAAAATAAGTTCCTGTCAGGCATCCTAACCAACTAGTAGGGAAGGTATGAGTAGAATTACCCACTGTCAAACTATGTATTAGACAACACAAGCACGGTTTTGGCACTGTGAGCTAAGCATGGAGGATTTTTTAATGGTTAACATCTTGGAAGGGCTGATCAGCTATGGAATAGCCTATCTTGCTTCACTGGTATTTATGGTTTAATTGGGCTACACAAATAATATTTCAGCCCCCATGCAGTTTTCCTTGCAAAAAAATGATGAAGAATGCTTGGGAGCTGCCTCATTCCATCTAGGACAAGAGAAGGACAATTAATCTTACTATCTGGCATGCAAAGAAGCCAGTAGGAAAGGTTCACTATCAATACCACCAATATCACCCTGCTCCACAATTTGTAATTAGGGTTGGGGAAATTTGCCTGTCTTGGAAGGCAGCTCTTGTGTGGAAAGGGTCAATCACCACAGTTGCTAGTATCAACAAACCAACAAAGGTTCTGGAAATTCCTTTAGGATAGCCCATGGGAAGCAATAGGAGATAAAGGAGGCCAATGACACTCAGCTCATGCTTTACTGATGGAAAGGCACCATAGTGAAATATTTCCTTTGCACACAAAATGAGCCAATATATGGTGTTTCTCTAAACTGAGTCAAAGACAAAATGCACGGCAATGTGTTATTGGACTTATACTTCTCTATAATAAAATTAAGTAGAGAAAAATTCTCCTCTTAGTTTTGTGTTTTCTCATCAATCTGACATAGGACACTTGGAGCAGTGCTTTTTCATGAGCAAACCATAAAAAGCACAATAAGAAGATCCAGTAGTTCTATGAAACTGACATGTTAGTTGAAAGTATAATTATAACTGGGAAAAGGAAAAATATCACCAGTAGTTTAACTATATAGAGTTTCTCTTAGCATTTTGGTTTGTAAGCTTCCAAGTTGCTTTAAATAGTTGTAACAAATGTACATACATTTCACTGCCTCTTATGCTTCTAGGAATTCCCAAAGTATACAAACCATGGGTGTTCAATAAATGTTTGGATATTTGATATATTTCAAAATTTATTTTGAAGCCCTCTGAATTCCAAAATACCTTTTCAGTGGCAAGGCTATCTTGACCCAGTTTTACCATTACAGCCTATATCATACTATGCGACCACTTCACATCTTTGGCTTTCAGTCTCTTCATCTGTACAATGAAGTGGTTGTGCTAGTTAATTTTTTGAATGGTGAATTCCTGTAGGTGGACTTGTTTTCCATGGTGAAGTTAATGTAAGAGCTGCAGTTGACTGCAGAAGTCAGGCAATTTTAAAAATGAGTTTTGGTCAATACTGCAGGAGTTTTATTTATTTTATTTATTTAAAAAGGCTGTCAACAGTGGGGGTTACAAATCAAGCTGTTGAAACTCAGTGATCTCCTGCATACATATATTCAAAAGCTTTATAAAGTCCAATATATAGGCATATAATTTCCAATTGACTACTTATGATATATGTCGTTGTTTTTAAAATAGTCTGTAATCAGATCTGAAAATGTGGTCTTTATTTATTTAAAAAAATCCTGCCTACTGGCACAGAGTTTTCCCCACACACAACACACACACAATTCATTACATTCTCAAGCTTTCTCTCTAGTAAGAATCCCCTGATACCAAATCAGAACAGGATTTTCTCTAAAGCATTCTGCACATTCTTTTATTTCAGAGTTACTAGAGTTTATTTCGCATGTGAATTCTCTGGTGTTTAGTAAGAGCTGAACTTCGACTGAAGTTTTTCCCACATTCCTTACAAGAATAAGGTTTTTCTCCAGTATGAATTCTCTGATGATCATGCAGGTTGGTTTTCTTTCGGAAGGCTCGACCACATTCATTACATTCATAGGGCTTCTCTCCAGTATGAGTTCTCTCATGCTGAATAAGGGATGAACTTTGACTAAAGGCTTTCCCACAGTCAATACATTCATAGGGTTTCTCTCCAGTGTGGGTTCTTTCATGTTGGGTAAGAGAAGAGCGTCGACTGAAGGCTTCTCCACATTCATTACATTCATAGGGCTTCTCTCCAGTATGAATTCTGTGATGCTCTATGAAACTTGTACTCCTTTTGAAAGCTTTTCCACATACATTACATTGATAGGGTTTCTCTCCAGGATGAGGAATAGGTTGTTGACTAAAGGTCTGCTCACAATCATAGGAATTCTCTCCAGTATGGATCCTCTGATGATCAGTAAGGTCTGTAATGTGACTGAAGTCTTCCCCACAGTCATTACAATGATAGGATTTCACTTCAGTGAGAGTGCCTTCATCAGTAGTAAGAGATGAACTGTGCTTGAAATCTATGCTGTAATTATTGCTTTGGTAAGGTTTGCCTCTCTTATGAATCCTCATATGTTTATAAAGGGAAGGGCTCTGACCAAAAGCCCTCCCACATATGCTACATTCAAAAGGTTTCTCTCCAGTATGAGTCCTCTCATGTTGGACAAGAGAAGAACATCGGCTAAAGGCTTTCCCACATTCCTTACATTGGAAAGGCTTCTCTCCACTATGTGTGACTTCATGTTGAGTGAGGGATGTACCGTGCCTAAAGGACCTCCCACACAGATTACATCGATAGGGTTTCTCTCCTGTGTGAATTCTCTGGTGTTGAACAAGGGAGGAGCTGCGTTGGAAGGCTTTCCCACAGAGACTACACTGATAGGGTTTCTCCCCAGTATGAGCATTCTCATGCTGTCCAAGGGATGAGCTATGCCTGAAGGCCTTTCCACACACATTACATTCAAAGGGCTTCTCCCCAGTGTGGATTCTCTGATGTTCAGTAAGCTGTGTCTTCCAGAGGAAGGTTTTTCCACAGTCAGTGCATTCATGGTGTTTCTTTCCAGGATAAATTCCCTGATCTGTACCATTAGGGAAAGCACCCTCTCCTTTATGAGTTTTCTCATGTTTAGTAAGTGATGATCTATGAATAAAAGCTTTTCTACATTTATCACATTTATAGGGTTTCTTTTTTACAAGGATATTGTTCTGATTGAGTAAGTCGGGATTATGTCCCAAATTGCTTCCAAGTGTCTCACATTCACTAGGCCTTATTCTCAAAGGAATGTTCAGTTGTGTGACCAGGTCTGTGTTCAACCTAGAGTTTTCACCAAATTTATTTTGCTCAAAACTTCCTTGTGATGTTATTATTTTCTTCTGGGTAGATGCCTCTGTCCCTAGATGTCTCTTCCAGTTTTCCTGGTGTCTCTGTAATTGACTGCTAACATCCCAGGAATCTTCTAACGTGGCATGTAAGAGATTATCTGTGTTATGGGGTACTTCTGACACATCCTGCTGTAGATTTGATGATTTGGCTTCAGGCCTGGTCTTCCAGTCTGAAAGAAATCCAAAGTGCAAAAGTTCCCTATTCCTTCCTGTCGAAACAAACTACTAGAGTAGAAATGAGGAAATGAAAGACATAAATTATACATGGTTCTATTTTGAAATTAGTCCTATAGCCTGAGGAGAAGACCCAAAATGGAGGAAAGGAAGACTACAGATACAGAGTGTGTGGTAAGTCCAGAGAATGAGGAAAGCCTAACAAGGGGGACTGGTTAGGGAATGAGGGAATAAGTGAGCATGAGCATGTTAGGCACAGACACAAATGGAATAGGTTCATGGCCCATCTTGCAGGATCCTGTCTACTTTTCATGCCTCTAGTCCTTTTACAAACCACTACAAAACTATCTTCCTAATATATCCATTTTGTCATTTCTTTTTTTTTTTTTATTCTTTTGGAGTTGGAGTCTCACTCTGTCGCCCAGACTAGAGTGGAGTAGCATACTCCTGGCCACTGCAGCCTCGACCTGCTGGGCTCCACAATCTTTCTGCCTCAACCTTCCAAGTAGCTGGAACTACAGGCGTGCTACCACGCTCGGCTAGTTTTTGATTTATCTATTTATTTATTTTTGAGTTGGAGTCTCACTCTGCCGCCCAGACTGGAGTGCAGTGGCATACTCCTGGCCACCGTAGCCTCGACCTGTTGGGCTCCGGCGATCCTTCCACCTCAGCCTTCCAAATAGCTGGAAATACAGGCGCGCGCTACCATGCCCAGCTAATTTTTGATTTATTGTAGAGATGACGGCTCGCCAAGTTGCCCAGGCGGGTCTCGAACCCATGGGCTCAAGCAATTCACTCACCTCGGCCTCCCAAGGCGTGGGATTACAGGCTGAGCCACCGAGCCCGGCCTAGTTTTTGATTTATTGTAGAGACGAGGTCTTGCCAAGTTGCCTGGGTGGGTCTCAAACCTGCGGGTTCAAGCAATCCACTCCTCGGCCTCCCAAAGTGCTGGGATTACCAGCTGAGTCACCGAGCCTGGCCTATAATTTCTTTAAAGCCACCTCTGAGGTTTCAGGTCTCCAAATGCTGCAGAGAAACTCTGCACCAACTGATCTAATTGAAATAATTATTTGACAAACTTGGAAATCAAGGGTAATATCTTACAAAATGAGAGAAAGTCAGTATTTCAGGAGGTAAATCATCTTTGTTTTCACAAACAGGGCTGTTGTTTTAGTCCACTTGAACTCTGGTTCTATACTTATCACCTCTCTTGACCAAAAATGATTTATTTCAATCTGCCTAATAAATTGATCTCTAAGTCCCTGTTTTTTCTTAAGTATACCAATATTAGATAATTAATTAATTTCTGGGTTCTAAGAATGGTAACCTTTAAAGACCAAGGACAAGGAGTTTTCTGCAGTGATAACAATGTTCCAAAGTGGAAGGAATTTGGGTTTGATGAGTGAATGCATTTGTCAAAATCAACTGGATGTACATATAAGAGTTGTACATTTCATTGTGTTCTTTAAAAAAAAAGAATTGTAAACAAATATTGAACTGTAGTTAATTATATACATGCTAAAATGTGTAGGGGCGAAATGTAGCCATGTCTGCAATTTACTTGGAAATGCATCAAAAAGTAAGATGGATTGAAAGGTAGACAGGTGAAGAGATATATGATAGAGAGAATACTACAAAATGTTAATAGCAAAAATGTGATAATCCTGGTGGCAGGTATGTGGTGCTGACTGTATAATTTTTTCAACTTTTCTATATATTTGAAATTTTTCTTAGTAAAATATTGGATGGGGAAAAAAATAACAAAACCGCTCTAAACCCCCAAATTCCTTACCCTACAAAAAAGAAACAGTTGTAAACTCCTAAGGGCAGAGAATGATTTGTATTTTATTTTAGAATCCTTCTCAGTGGAACATTCAAGAAATGTTAAAATGAATGAGAAAGTTCTCTCCCCAACCAGACTTCATCAAAATCAATCAAGTAATTTCTGACTGCTTCCTATACTAAATACTAAAATAAATAGATTCTTCCTCCAGGAGTTTGAAATCTAAGAACAGAAATAAGACTCCATCTTTTGACAGCTTAAAAAAACCCCAACCATCATATGGTATATTATTAAATCTGAGTTTATGTAATGGCGATGATAAAAATGGTATTTGTGATCAGGGAAGGAAAAAATAAATATATTAGCACATAGGTCTCATGGATTAGATATCTTGAACTCAAAGAACACAAGGCTTTGAACAGGCAGAACATATTACCAATGATGAAAAGTATATGCTACTTACAGAGAGTATTAAAAGAAGTTTGATATGAGAAGATCATATTTTAGTAGGAATAGAAGGATAATACTGGAAGGTATGAGGAAGGACCTTTAAATCAAGGGAATTTCTATTTCTTATAATGAGGTACAGGAGTAAAGGCAAGGTTTTATCAAAGGTTTCATGAAGATAAAATATTAAAATTTTTGTATGGTTTATCAACTGATAAATGGTTCAACAAAAAGTGGTATATCCATACAATGGTAAATTACTCAGCAACAAAAAGGAATGAAGTACTGATACATGCTAAACATGATTGAACCTTGAAAAAATTATGCTAAAAGAAAGAGGGTAGTGACATATTATAGGATACTATTTGTAAAACTGATTTGATAGGCAAATCCATAGAGATAGAAAGTAGATTAATGGGGCTAGGCACCATGGCTCACACCTGTAATCCCAGCATTTTGGGAGGCAGAGGCGAGAGGATTCTGAGTGTGCAGGGGTTCAAGACCAGCCTGAACAACTTGGTGAGACCTTGTCTCCACAATAAAACAAAAAATTAGCCGGGTGTGGTGGCGTGCACCTATGGGTCCAGCTACTTGGAGGGACCACCTGAGTGAGGAAGGACCATCTGAGTCCTTCAGGTCAAAGCTGCAGTGGCCATGGTGTGCCACTGCACTCCAGCCTGGGTGACAGAGTGAGACTCTGACACACACACACACACACACACACACACAAAGAGAAAGAAAGTAGATTAATGATTGTCAGGGGCTGAGAGGAACAAGAAATAGGAAGGAACTATTAATGAGTATGAGGGTTTTTTCTGGGTGATGAAAATGTTCTGAAATTAGATAGTGATAACGTTTGTACAACTCTCTGAATGTATGAAAACCCACTGACCTATACACTTTAAATCTTATGGTATGTGAATTATATCTCAGTACAGTTGTAATTTTAAAAATTCAATATGGATTATAAAAAGAAAAGACAAGCTGGGCTCGGTGGCTCAGACTATAATCCCGCGCCTTTGGGAGGCTGAGGTGAGTGGATTGCC